GAAGACAAGTCCCTCACCCAGATACATGGGATGCATCTCCTTTATTTAATATACTAATCCAATTCTTTCCCAGACCCTACAATTTCAGGTAATATTGGACTGGCCCTGTTTAAAAGTTATGAAATTTTTCTGTAGAACAAGTGTCCGTACCTTCCACCTCCTCCCTTCCCCCCCTAGCCCCCCCATCCCCTCCCCCATTCCCTCCACACCCATTTATGTCAATACCTGCCTTTTTAATTCCTGGAGCAAAGAGCGGGATTAGGAAAGGACAGGGAATGAGCAGTGACATTTGGAAAGACCTTGCTCTGTGACAGCTCTGATGTTGATGGCAGAGTTCTAATTTCCTCTTAGAAAAAAGTTGTGCAAATATCATAGTTTGCTTCTGTTGGTTTTTTTAATGTGCTCAGGTAGACTGTTTGGGCTCTTGAGTCAGAGCTTCTCCTTGTGGAGTGTATACATGGACACACACGAACATGCACACATACCCTAAAGCACTTTCTCCTGTCCCTCAGCCCTCCCCATCACCTTCAAGCCTCCTCAGTTAGGCAGTCAATTGCCAAGTCCTGTCCCTATGTTAATTTAATGCATTCCTCTTCTTCACCTACTGACTACCATTAGATATTGATAAATTTCAAAAAATAAAACCACACAATTACTTTAGCCCAGGTCCCACACCCCATGTGTGGAGCAGATCAACTGACTGAATGTGATGGTTATCTTACTGGAGGTTAAGGATGGGTGAAATGGCCTGCAAGAGCTCACTCCTCATGCCAGTAATGTCCCACCTCTTTATCTTCTGAGGAGATTAATGCTCTGAACCCAGCCACCCAAACACCCTCATACCCCCTTTCCACACCAGTATGCGGAACAGCTGAGAGGCAGGGAAGCCTGCAGGACCACGCAGGGCCTGGTGAGAACTAGCACCCGACTAATGGAAAATCACAAATTGGTATCCAGTAACCTATTCTCCACCCATCAGTTCCTCAAGTGGCTCTTGTTTCTCCTCAGCCCCGTTCAATTTAGCATTTAGCACCAGCCTGAATCAAACCTACCCAGAAAGATAAACCCTCTCAAAGTTCAAGAATCCCACACATCTACACAGAAATGTATTGTCTATAAAATGCTTTGCCATATGTTATCTCAACACTCTCCTGTACAGGAGCCATAACTCCTCAATGACAAGTGAAAATACTATAGTTTTTTTTTAGCATACTTTGTCTTATGTATATGACAAACTCATAACTCAAAATCCTGGCTTCTTGATTACCAACTCAAGGCAAGAAGAATTCCCAAGTCAAAGAGAATTATCTGCTTTTCTGACCATGAGTCAGCTCTCTACTGGACGGGAGAGCCAAAGTCCAACTTCAGTGAAGGACCAGCTTCCTTTAACCAGAAGATCCTCTCAGAAATGTGGGATCTCATTGCTTGGACCTGAGCGTAGAGGCTTACAGGGACCCATGTGGGTCTGGGGCAGTTCTTCCTATGGAAAATTTAAGTGTAAAAGCAGAAGACAACTCCAGAGAAGGCACCATGTCCTCAAGAAGATAAAGGAGCCATGAACTCAGTCCCCAAGTGTGTTCTGAGTGTGGCCTCTCCAGGGAATGGGACCCACTTAGCCTGGAGAAACCTTCAAGCCCCTGCACTGAGTCCAGTGGAGATCTAGACAAGAGGTGGGTAATGTGAGCTCCCAAACCCCAATCTCCTTCAGGAGAGATGCCAGGACTAAGAGTCCTCCCAGTACCCTCAGCAGGCACATTTTTTAAAATATATTTTATTGATTTTTTACAGAGAGGAAGAGAGGGATAGAGAGTTAGAAACATTGATGAGAGAGAATCATCGGTCAGCTGCCTCTTGCACACCCCCTACTACTGGGGATGTGCCCGCAACCAAGGTACATACCCTTGACCGGAATCAAACCTGGTACCTTCCAGTCTGCAGGCCGACACTCTATCTACTGAGCCAAACCGGTTTCGGCCCTCAGCAGACACATTTTAAAATCTCCCAAACCAAATCTGAGATCCCAGAGATGTGAACCCAGAAGGCAGGTGGGGTGGAGAAGGAAAAAGAAGGTTGGTGCCAGGTATCTGCCAGCCCCAGCTAATCCTTGTTGATTTTAGCAGGTGACTAAAATCAACAAGGATGATTTCCTCCTCCCCCTCCCCTTCTTCTGGGGAAGAAGGGGAGGGGGAGGAGGAAGTAACACCCCTCCTAGTTTGTTTCCCATTGGCCCTTGGTATCCTTAAAAGGGCCCAGCAGTCTCAGCACTGTACTTGCGATCCTCTGAGGATTCTGCTTTGATACTCACTCCTGAGCGTCAACCATGAGATTCACATCTCTTCTCCTCCTGGCAGCTCTGGCTGGGACCCTGGTCTGTGCCCGTGAGTATGGCCCTCCCACTGCAGAAGCCCTCAAAGTCCAGGGAAGCCTTCCTTCCTGACTTTAGACCTCTCTTTCTCTCCTAATGCTGTGCTGGCTTCTCTTCCTTCTGCAAGTGACTCCTGACCCCTCCTACCTGGCCCCCCTGCCAGCCCCCAATTCTCTACATGTGGCCTATTTACCCCATTGCTGTGTGGAGGGGTGATGGGGTAGGAAACCTCTGGCCATCTCCTCACACATCCTCCTTTGCTCTTATTGCAGGGCCTCTGGGTCACTGTATATAGCTGGGCAGGTTGTTCCCTACACAGTGGTACCAGGCAGAGAAGCTGAAGGGGCTGAAATCTAGCCCCTGTTCCACTTGCCAAGCAGTGAACCCTGCCCACGCCTCTCTCTCAGGATGCCTTTTCCAATTGCACAAAGGCACTATTTGGGCCAGGATAACCATGTCATTCCTCAAACTCTGGGACCTTCCTTCTTGCTCTTCCTTCTGCCTGTCCCCTTCCCCAGCCAACTCTGAATATCACCTAACCAGTGCTTTCTCATCTGTGAAATTTCACTTTAGGTATGAATTTCTCAAGAAAGTCTTCCTTAAAAATAAAGTGTATAAAGGACCAATGAGACCTCTTTTACCCATATTGCACCATCTAAATAATAAGGTTGTTAGCTCTGAAGGGATGGGAATCTTGTCCACCTTCTTCATCATAGAACTCCCTTCACTTAGCAGACTTTGCATAAACATTATGTTGAAAGAATAAGGGGAGTTAGAGCTATAACCCAATCCCATAAATGACCTGAGCATGACCCAGTGGAATCTGCACTGCCAACTTCTACCACCACAGGCCATGACTGGCTCCCTGACACTAGCTTAGGGCACCCTCACAGTGAAAAGAACAGGAGGAAGGCAATTTTCAGAGGAATATCCCACTTTTCTGCTTCAAAAAAGAAACTGCAGGAGGAGTTAAACATCAGAAAGAATGGTCTGATGGTCCCACTGGTGTGGCAGTAGGGTCTGCTCAGCCAACAGTGAAATTTGTCCCCCGGTGTCCACAAACATTCCTGAGAGCTCAGAATTGGGGGTGGGAGGGAGGATGGCTCTGGTGTGGATCAGGTTCAGTCCTCATAGTTGTCTCTCTTCTCGGTTACAGAAGAAGAAGATACCACCAGTGATCCCACAACTGCTGATTACTCTGAGACCAGTGAGTTTTCCCCCTCTTGTTTCTGCCTGGGGGAAGGGTTGAACAGCTGAGATGTCAGGGAAGCTGCAGGGAGGAATTCGGGGAGAGGGGACTGGGTCCTGATCTTGGTGGTAATAGAAGAGCATGGCTTAGGGTGGGACAGGTGTAGGGAAGAAGCAGGAGAACTCATACAGGCAAGGTTAATGGGGAGAGTGGAGAAAGGCTTTTGTGAATAAAAGGGAGAAAACGATAAGATCAAATAATAAGGGCAATGTCCCATGCAGTATTCAGACCTTTACCTGTAAACAGCTTTCGTGACTCCCAGCTGCTTTGCAAGCTGCCCACTATCTGGCCTCACACCCCATTTCCAACCCTCTTTCCCATGCCTCTCCTTCATGTACCACCCACATCTGCTAAATTTAACTAACTCACATTCTACTCACCTGTTCCACACATGCCTTCCCCAAAGCTCTTGCTGACTCACTTCCTGCCCCCAAGGAAGCCCCTTTAGAACAGCCTCCCTGCCAAAATCCTGCATTCAACACCCCACTTCTCTCTACCATGCTCCCTAACTGCTCCCCACACTCCTCTCTCCATTCCTCCCCAACCCTGCCCATCTCCCAAGAGGTGCTGTCTCAGTCCATTCGGGTGGGCTGTTACAAGTAACTGTACATTGGCTTACACAACAGAAAGGTATTTCCCATGGTCCTGGAGGCTAGACATCTAGGACCATGGTGTCTGCATGGTCAGGTTCTGGTGAGGACCCTCTTTCAGGTTGAAGACTGCCAACTTTTCATTGTATCCTCACATGGTGGAAAGAAGGGAAGAGAGCTCTCTGTGGTCCTTTCTACAAGGGCACTAATGTCATTCATGAGGGCTTCACCTCCCTAAGGCCACACCTCCTAATACCATTCTGTTAGAAGTTAAGATTTCACCAAATGCATTGGAGTGAGGGGAAGTGGGGGGAGGGGGAAGCGAGGTGAGGATGGAAGAGGGCGGGAGAAACAAACACTCATCTATAATAAGCACATGGTGTGTAGAAATCCCATTTCTCTTGAGAGGGAGAGTTTATGCCATATCATTTCTGTATCCTGGTACCCAGCACATATTAGGTATCTGAGGCCTGCCACCCATTCTTAAGGGGGAAAAAATACACTTGACTTTGCTAAAATCAACAAATCTGTGTTTGTAACTCCAGCGCAATCTGATGCGCCCCAAGAGACAACCGCAGCAGACCAGCCTTCGGAGGCATCCCAGGAGTCAACCGAGAAGCAAGAAAACACTTTAATAGGTAAGTCTCTGTCTCTATAACAGATACAGCCCAGAGAAATTTCTGGCATCAGGTCTACATGATGCCTCTGTGCACAAAGACAAGCCCAGAAGAAGCAGACATTCATTTGTTCACCTGAACACAACACATAAATGAGGTGAACACTGCACACTAACACAGGGTCTGTGCAATAGCAGATTTTGCTGCCTCACTATACATGGCTTCCTTCCTGGCCCACCCACTTTCCTATGAGAAGCTGAGCCCCTCAGCAAAACTTCTGCACTTTAGGAATTTATACAAGGGTAATGGGGGAAGAGAGGAAGAGGTGGGAACTTTTTTAATGACATGGCTTTTCTGCTGATGTAATTCTCCTGCTCCAAAATTAGGTGTGATAAAGAAGGATATCGAGAAGATAAAAGACCGCATTGAAGACACAAAAGAAAAGTTGGAGAAAAAAATTGTAGATAAAATAGATAATCTTAAAGGTGAGTGCATCCTAAGGCAAAGCCTTGTGGGAGCGGGAATACTCACCAGCCACCAGCCAAGTGGAGAGGTGGGAAAGACCACGCCCCACCATCACCCTGCACAGGATTTCTTAGGATGGGGATGCAGAACTACCTCAGCCCCTCTCCATTGAAATTTCCTTCATTTGTGCCTTAAATGGCTCAAATTTCTCGTCCACATTCAAAATGCATGGTTGTCTAATACCAGATCCCCCTAGGGTCCGACCCCCAACCTTCCCACTGCAGAGTCTGCTTGCTCATTTCTCTTTCTCTCATTCCTGCCCAGGTTGGGGGATAGGGCTCATCCTTTGGCCTCTTGTGAATCTAACCTCCCTCCCTCTGACTTCTGTGTCAGACCCTCAGGGGCACAGGGAGGTTGGAAAGAAGATTGAGTTGAGGATGGAATGGGTGGGTTGTGGTTGGGGCCGTTCAAGCCTCATTTTCATCTCTGCTTTCTTCCAGAGGACTGGAACATTCTGAAGAAAATATTTGGGTAACAATTCCGTACAAGTAACAATCCGTACAGAATGGGATCTAAAAACGTAATGCCTTAAACATGTGTAGAGCTCAGAGCAATTAAATTGAAAGCATATAACTTGTTGTGTGCCTGTGTTCTGTTGGGTGGGCCTGAGGGAGAGGGAGAAAATTCCTGCCTGGAGCCCATACCCTGAGCCAGTCACAGCCCACTTTCAAGACACGGCCTCTAACAAGCCCTTTTAGTCACACTGAGCCACAGCCACATGTGGTGGGCCTCTTGCTCCAAATGCCACTCGATTCGGTCTGCCTCCTCCTTCTTCACAAGGGCTCCTAGTGAAATTTGAGCACTTCCAAAAATTAATCAACCTCCAAAGATCCAAGATTTGTCATCCTGAAAATAGTCAAATCCTGAGTTATTGCTACAAAGGTCAGTTTCTTGTGGCATTAGTAAAAATGCATCCCTCCTGCCTTCCACTCATACTTTCCACACTGGGCCAGTTAATTTGCTGGGCCTGGTTGGTGTGGCTCAGTTGGTTGGGCATCGTCCTGTGCACTGATGCAGGTGTGCAGGAGGCAGCCAATTGATATGTCACTTTCACATCGATGTTTCTCCTTCTCTCTCTCTCTTTTTTTTAAATTAAATCTTTATTGTTCAGATTATTAGAGTTGTTCTTCTTTTTTCCCCCCATAGATCCCCTCCACCCAGTTCCCATATTAAGCCATACCCTTACCCCCACTTCCCACTATCCTCATCCATAGGTGTATGATTTTTGTCCTGTCTCTTCCCACAATTCCCACACCCCGTTCCCCCCTGCCCCAGGATTGTCATTCCACTCCCTTTCTAAGCCCCTGATTCACCAGTTTATTCTGTTCATCAGATTTTTTTATTCACTTGATTTTTAGATTCACTTGTTGATAGATATTTGTTGTTCATAATTTTTTTAAAAATATACATTTTATTGATTTTTTTACACAGAGGAATAGAGAGAAATAGAGAGCCAGAAACATCGATGAGAGAGAATCAACATCAGCCACCTCCTGCATACCCCATATGGTGATGTGCCCACAAGCAAGGTACATGCCCTTGACCGGAATCGAACCTGGGACCTTTCAGTCTGCAGGCCAACGCTCCATCCACTGAGCCAAACTGGTTTTGGCTTGTTCATAATTTTTATCTTAACTTTTTTCTTCTTCCTCCTCTTCTTAAAGAATACCTTTCAGCATTTTATATAATACTTGTTTCTTATTGATGCACTCCTTTAGCTTTTTATTATCTGTCAAACTCTTTATCTGCCCTTCAATTCTGAATGATAGCTTTGCTGGGTAGAGTAATTTTGGTTGTAGTTTCTTGCTATTCATCATTTTGAATATTTCTTTTCACTCCCATCTGGCCTGGATAGTTTCTGTTGAGAGATCAGCTGAAAATTGTATGGCTGCTCCCTTGTAGGTAATTAACTTTACCGCAATTAATCTTTAAAAAATTTTGCTGTTTTTAAGATCCTCTCTTTGTCTTTTCCTCTTGGTATTTTAATTATGATGTGTCTTGGTGTTTTCCTCTTTGGATTCCTTTTCTTTCGGGTTCTCTGTCCTTCCTGGACTTATACATCTATTTCTTCCACTAGGTGGGGGAAGTTTTTTGTCATTATTTCTTCAAATAGGGTTTCAGTATCTTCCTCTATCACTTCTTCTGGCACCCCCATAATTTGGATGTTGGTACACTTGAGGTTGTCCCAGAGGCTCTGTACACTATCTTCAACTTTTTGGATTCTTTTTCTTTTTGGATTTTCAGTTGGGTGTTTTTTGCTTCTTTGTATTTTAAATCTTTGACTTGATTCTTGCAATCCTCTAGTCTACTGTTGGATCTCTGTATATTATTCTTTATTTCACTTAGTGTATGCTTAATTTTTAGTTGGTCCTTTTTCATATTCTTGAGGGTCTCACTAAATTTATGGGCCTTTTTAGGAAATTCTTGAAAAACCATATAACTGTGGTTTTGAGCTCTATATCCAGTAGTTTGCTTTCCTTAATTCCTTTCATTTGTGACCTTTTTCTATGTCTCCACATTTTTGCTGCTTCCCTGTGTTCATAGAGTGGCTTTGTGTACTAGGTGTCCTATAGGGCACATGGCTCAGCCTCCCCAGTTACCTGAGGTGGACACTCTTGGTGCACCCCTTTGTGGGTTGGGTGTTCAGTGTTATAGTTAAGCCTCCTTAACTATAGGAGACTTATTGGTATCACTGGGAGGAATTAACATCAACTTGATTGTTGTTGGTATCACTGGGAGGAATTGACCTCCAGGCCAATGAGCTATGAGAATCAGCTATGTCTATGATGGGAGAACTTCAGTGCTGGAGACACTCTTATGAGCCAAGACTTGCTTCAATGGGGTTTTAGTGCTCACTGAATATGCTCCCTGAGTGTGTCCCTTATCAATCTGAGGAGTTGTACTCTGGATGGTCCTGCTCTGACCACTAGGTACACTGGCTCTTGAATCTCCAAGGAGGTGCTAATTCAGCCTCTGCCTGAGGCCACCAAGTGGGAGCTAGGGAGATATCTGCAGATTCCTCTTCTTTGTTTGGGTTTAGGAGATGCATAGATGAGGCCCAGCTGTGAAGCAATGCAAGTTGCTATGGGGCCTTGGGCCTTCTTTTGGATGTTCTTGGTCTCTCTGACTCAGCTGCAGTTTGTTAGGTAAATTTAGATTTCAAAGGAATAAGCCATTCATATGCAAAAGCCTCTTCACACAACTTGGATGGGGCAGAGTCTCAGGGCAGAGCAATAAGCTATGGCTGGTCATCAGCCCTGCCCTAAGAGGCCCCTGGATCTCAGTGTCTCTCAGTAATCACTGTAAGCACCTCTGAGAGAAAGCCACCCCTCCATTTCTGTCTGCTGCCACACAGTCCAGTTTCTCCCCATATGAGTCTGGGTCCCCAGAGTCTTGCCCAGAACTGGATTTTAGAACAGTTGGGAGCTTGTGTCTCCCTCCCGATTGAAAACGTCAGCCACATCCTCAGTTGCCAGCCCCTTTCCGCATGCCTCCATACCTCTGCACTTTACTTCTGCAACTCCTCTGAGTCTCAGTGTGCTTTTCTCTTCCCTTCTAGTTGTAGAATTTCTACTCATCCAGCCATCCTGTGATTCTGGATAATGTCTGTTTTGCCTTTTAGCTGTAGTTTTCAAGTGGTTGTGCGAGGCAGCGAGTTCCAGTGTTTACCTATGTCACCATCTTAGTTTATCCTCCCTTCCTCTCTCTTTATAAATCAATTTAAAAAATCGAGAGAGAGAGAGAGAGACAGAGACAGAGACAGAGAGAGAGAGAGAGAAATTGGGACACAGACACACACAAAGGGAAGATTCTATAAAGACATGCAAGGATAGATGGTTATGTAACTAAGAAGGCAGGAACTGGTGTGATGCCAACACCATGAACAAGAAGAGGTAGTGAAGGGTTCTTCCCTACAGGTTTCTTTCTTTTTTAAAATAAATAAATAAATCTTTATTGTTCGTATCATTACAAATGTTCCTCATTTTCCCCCCCTCCATTTCTCCCCTCCACCAGGTTACCACCCGACCCTCTGCCCTTTCCCCATTCCCCATGGTCCTCATCCATAGGTGCACAGTTTATGTTCAGACCCTTCCTGCACCCCCAACTCCCCTTTTCCCCGAGAATCGTCAGTTCACTCAACTTTCATACCTCTGATTCTATTGTATTCACCAGTTAATATTGTTCATCAGATTTTTTAATTCCCTTGGTTTTTAGCTTCACTTGTTGAGAGTTATGTATTTGTTGTTCATAATTTTTATCTTTATTTTCTTTCTCTTCCGAAAGAACACCCTTCAGCAATTCATATAATTCTGGTTTGGTGGTAATGAACTCCTTTAGCTTTCCTTTTATTTGTGAAGCTCTTTATCTGCCCTTCGATTCTGAGTGATAGCTTTGCTGGGTAGAGTATTTTTGGCAGTAGGTTCTTGGTTTTCATCACCTTGAATATTTCTTGCCATTCCCATCTGGCATGCACGGTTTCTGTTGAGAAATCAGCTGACAATCGTATGGGTGCTCCTTTATACGTAACTACCTGCATTTCTCTTGCTGCTTTTAATATTCTCTCTTTCTCTTTTGCTCTAAGCATTTTAATTATGATGTGTCTTGGTGTGGTCCTCTTCGGATTCCTTTTGTATGTGGTTCTGTACACTTCCTGGACTTGTAAATCTAATTCTTTTACAAGGTGGGAAAAGTTTTCTGTCACTATTCCTTTCAGTATGTTTTCAATATCTTGCTCTCTCTCTTCTTCTGGGACCCCATAATTCTGATGTTGGTTCACTTGAAGTTGTCCCAGAAGTTTCTTACATTATCTTCAATTTCTGGATTCTCTTGTCTTCTTGCTTCTGTGGAGGAGTGTCTTCTGGCTCTTTGTGTTCCAAATCTTTGACTTGATTCTTGACATCTTCCATTCTGTTTTTAGGACTCTGTATAATACTTTTTATTTCAAATAATGTATTCTTTATTTCTAGTTGATCTCTTTTCATATCGTCATAGGTCTCATTTATTTTATCGGCCTTTTCTAGGAAATTCTTTAAAAAAACCTTATAAATGTGGTTTTGAACTCTATATCCAGTTGCTTTTTGTCCTCCATTTCTTTCATTTGTGATCTGTTTCCTTGTATCGGCATTTTCTCTGCTTCCCTTTGTTGGTAGGGTGGCTTGTGTGCTAAGTTGTCCTATATGGTTCAGTGGGTCAGCTTCCCAGTTACCTGAGATAGACTATCTCGGTGCACCCCTTTATAGACCGTGTGCACAGCCTTGTTGTAGTTAAGTCTTGATTTTTGTTGGGATGACTGGGAGGAACTGACCTCCAGGCCTATTGGCTGTGGGGATCAGCTGTATATATGCCAAGAGAAAGCCTTTTTCGACTAGACTTGGAAAATTGCAAAAGCCTCTGTGCTCAGTTTTGATGGGGCAGAGTTTCAGGGTGAAGCCTACAGCCTTGGCTTCCCATCAGCCCCACCCTATGAGGTTCCTGAATCTCAGTGTTCCTCAGTGTCCTTTGGTACCCACTACAAGCACCTCTGAGAGAAAGGTGCCCTTGAGTTTCGCCCGCTGCCAGACAGTCCAGTCTCTCCCCCATTGAGCCCAGAACTGGGGTTCAGTGCAACTGGAAATGGGGTTGGAAGTGGGGTTAAGAGTAGTCTGTATCTTTTGTCTCCTTCCCGCTGTGGCAATCCAGTAGCATAGAAAACAGTCCGTCCTCTGTGCGTATTCACGTGCACGCCTCCGGAGCTCTGCCTTTCTCCGCTCCCCTGAGTTCCCACCTTACAGCCCAGATTTCCTCCATATGAGCCTGGGTACCCAGAGCCTGGCCCAGAACTGGGGATCAGCCCAGTTAGAACTGGGGCTCAGCACAGTCTGGAGCTTTTGTCTCCTTCCCACTGGGGAACGCCAGCCAGGCACTCAGCAGCCCCCTTCTCTCCAGCTCTGTCCTCTCCCCACGTGTGCACTGTGTCTCTGTACCTTAGGCTTTTACAGCTCCTCTCATTTTCCTTCTGGCTTTCTCTTTCCTTCTAGTTGTAGAATTTCCAGTCAGTCAACTTTCCTATAGTTCTGGATAACGTCCATTTTGTATTTTAGTTGTATTTTTTTTGAAATTGTTGTGCGAGGCTGCAGTTAGGCATTTACCTATGCCACCATCTTGGTTTCTCCCTTCCCTACAGGTTTCTGAAAGAGCATGGCCCTATTGACACCTTGATTGTGAACTTTTAGCTTCCAAAACTAAGTGACAATAAATTTTTGTTGTTTGCAATCATCCAGTTTATGGTAGGAAAATAACACACACCCCTATTCACATATTCAACATCTCAGCAGGCTACTGGCTTCTTCTTATAACTGGAAAGTCACAGCCTTTGACCACCATCACCCATATCCTCCCCCCCTCCTAAGCCCTGGCAACCACCAATCTACTTTGTTTCCATTCGTTTGGTTTTTTAGATTTCACATATAAATTAGATCATAAAGTGCTTGTCTTTCTCTCACTTATTTCTCTTAGCATAATATCCTCCGGTTCTACCCATGTTGTTTCAAATGGCAGGATTTCCCTTTTTCTCGTGGCTGAATAATAGTCCATTATATTGATATATATGTCTTTCAGTTTTTAATGCACAGATATTTTATCTCTTTGGTTAAATTTATTTCTCAGTATTTAATTCTTTCACCTCAGTGTGGTTTTTTTTTTAATTTATCTTTATTATTGAAAGTATTGCAAATGTCTGCTTTTTTGTTATTGTTATTTCATTTTGTTTTTATTGATTTATAGAGAGAGGAAGGGAGAGGGAGAAATAGAGAGAAACATCAATGAAACATAGATAGGCTGTCTCCTGCACACACCCACACTGGGGATTGAGCCCAAAACCTAGGCATCTGCCCTGACTGGAAATCAGACTGTCAACCTCCTGGTGCATGGAACAAAGCCCAAACAACTGAGCTACACTGACCAGGGCTTAACAAGTTTTAAGTACACAATGTTGTATAGACATTATGTTGTAGAGCAGATCTCTGGATCTTATCTTATAGCATTTCTGACTACCCAATATACTATGTAATTTACGTATTTATCAATTTTCTTAACTAGAACGTAAACACCAGGAGAGCAGAGATTTCTGGGGGTTTTTTGCTGGTATAGCTTCAATTCCTAAAACAGTGCCTGGAATGAATGTTGAATGAATTCACCCCTTCCACTCACCTCTCCATTCTCATCCTGTGAAATTAATGTCTCCACTTGTGCTACCTCTTTACCTATTCGAAGGTATATAACTCTTCAGAACCAAGTCTATGTGTAATCCATTTCACTGTCCTGATGGGCCCCTAATACTCAATGGATAATAGATGCTTATTTCACAAACGGCCTGTGTATTGAATGATGGAGATTCATGTAGGCACTGTCCATTCAGGCCCATCCCTGCACACAACACTTCTCCCATCCTCCCCACTGACAGTACCCACCCAGGCTCTGGTGTTATCTGCCTTCCAGCACTCCAATACACCCCACGTTCCCCCTATCCCTCAAAGGGCAGAAAACTTTAACCATCTCTGTGCTTTGGATGGTACAGTGGCCATGACAAAGCCTGATGAAGGGGAAGGTTTCCCAGACACTGTTCCAGAGGAGACCCCAGGCCCAGTGAAATGGTTCATCCCATAGACAATGACAGCAGTCCAAAATCCCTGGGCAGACCAACAAGGAAAAAGGCATCAGCAGCTTCCCCTTGTTGTATGTTACCTTAACATATTACTTTTGTTGGGGGTGTGGGGAGCAGAAGGTGGTCTCTCTGACACAAACCACTCAAGACACATACAAACGCATCTGTGTCCAGCTAAAAGGCCAAGCACAGCTTTCCATCCCCTTCCCACACCCAATTTCATGGAATGACAAGAAATAATAAACAAATTTAAAAATATACTTAAAAAGGTAAGTGTTATTTGGGGTTGTAAGTTCGTTCCATTGACAATTGTTTTCCTAATTCTGGGGTTGTGGAATTGGATGTTCACCTATGGGTGATATTCTAAATCATTGATTTTCATCTGGTATGCCACAAGACTTTCTAAAACATGACTATTTAGTCAGGGGCATTAACTTCTTTTCCCTTAATTTGTCAAAAAAATAAAATAAAAAAAACAATGGCCAACACCACAATAGCCATCCAGTGTGAATGAATCAAAATTATATTTTTTTTTGTCAAATCAACAAAAAATAAAATTTTTGGCATGATGCAGAATTTAAGTAATTATTTTATATGTTCCATAAGCTGAAAATCACTGTTATAATAAATTATATAGAAATTAATAAGAGAAACACTCAACACAATTCCAAATATAATGAGAAGGAATAAAGATACATCTACCAACGTCTGATCTTTGAAACCAATTAAATTGATTTACCACAAGGAAAATAAATACAGTTATATAAATTTCATTTTGGATGAAAACAACCCCAGATAATACTTTCCTTTTTAAAAAATATTTTTTATTGATTTCAGATAGGAAGAAAGAGGGAGAGAGAAAGAAACATCAATGATGATAGAGAATCATTGATCAGCCACCTCCTGCACACCCCACAGTGGGGATGGAGCCTGAAACCTTGGCATGTGCCCTGTCTGAGAATTGTACCATGACCTCCTGGTTCCTAGGTCAATGCTCAACCACTGAGCCACACCAGCTGGGCTCAAATAACACTTTTTATGAAGAACTTCTGCCAAGTCCAGTGAAACTGGAACCAAATTGATGGAGGAAGCTGACACAGTTTCCATGATGACAGCTCATGGGCAGAGCAGACAAAGTGCATAATATACTCAGAGGAATAAAATCAAAGACACTTTGTTTATAACTAGATCCACCATATGAATGAGGACTGCTCCTGAAAAAAAGAACTGATCACCTAGAAAAGAAAAGCAGAATTAAAGACATAATTAAAGTGTTCCTTAAAAATAAAATTTGAGGGCGGAGCTTGAAGATGGCGACTGAACAGTCGGACTTGTTCTGACTCTGGTCCCAGAAGAGACAAAAGTAGCATTTGAGCAGCTCAGAAAATGTTGATTGGCAGCTGAGGGGCAGCGGAGTTCTCAAGGAAGGTAGGGAGCTGTCCACTGGACAGGATTTCCTGGCCAGGTGGCCAGCACTGCCACGGCGGCAGAAGTGGCGGCGAGCTGAGGCTGCGGCTCGGGGGCTCCGCCACCTTACCAGGAAAGGAGTAGCTTCTCTGAGGCCTGGAAAACCCCAGCGGAGAGGTCCATCGAGCAGCTGAGAAGCCCGAATCGGCGCAGACACGTGGATTCAAGGGAGCTCTTCAGTCACCCACGGAAAGGAGAAGGAACACCACATAACCAGACATCCTGAAAAGAGAGGCCATGGGGAGACAAAAACATAGTCCGCACGTGAAAGAAAAGCAGGCATCACCAGAAAAGGAAGTAAACGAGTCAGAGGCAAGCAGCCTACCAGAGCAAGAATTCAGACTAATGATCATAGGATGGCTAAAAAGAATGGAAGAGAAATTTGACAATAGCCAAGAAGAAATGAGGAAGAACCATGAGGAACTGAAGAAGAGCCATGAGGAACTGAAGAAGAACCAAGAAGAAATGAAAAATGACATCGCTACCATGAAGAACTCAATAGAAAGCATCAAGAGTAGACTAGATGAAGCAGAGGACCGCATCAGTGAGCTAGAAGATAAGATGGAAAAAAATACCCAAGTAGAGCAACTTCTAGAAAAAAAGATTAAAAAGCAGGAGGAGAGCCTACGGGAGCTATGGGACAATACAAAACAAAATAATATTTGAATAATAGGGGTTCCAGAAGAAAAGGAAACTGAGGTAGACATGGAAAAAGTATTTCAAGAAATAATGACACAAAACTTTCCTGAAATAGAGAAGAAAAAACCCACACAAATCCAAGATGCTCACAGAGTCCCAAGCAAAATGAATCCCAGAAGACAGACTCCAAGGCACATTATAATTAAATTGGCAAACAACATCAACAAAGTAAAAATCTTAAAAGCAGCCAGAGAGAGACAGAAAGTTACATACAAAGGAACCCCCATCAGACTAGCAACTGATTTCTCAACAGAAACTTATCAGGCCAGAAGGGAATGGGATGAAATATACAAAGTCATGCAAAGTAAGGGTCTGAATCCAAGAATACTGTACCCAGCAAGGCTATCAATCAAAACTGAAGGGGAAATCAGGAGCTTCACAGACAAAAAAAGACTGAAGGAATTTATTTCCACCAAACCAGCAATGCAAGAAATGCTAAAGGGTCTACTGTAAAAATAAAGAAATAAGAAGTGAAGAAGGAACACGGGTATAGAATAAAAATGGCGTCAAATGAGGACCTATCAATAATAACCTTAAATGTAAATGGATTAAATGCTCCAATCAAAAGACATAGGGTAACAGATTGGATAAGAAAACAAGACCCATACATCTGTTGTCTACAAGAAACCCACCTCAGAAAAAGAGATGCACACAGACTGAGGGTGAAGGGATGGAAAAAAGTTTTCCAGGCAAATGGAAATGAAAAAAAAGCTGGGGTAGCAATACTTATATCTGACAAATTTGATCTCGGAGTGAAGGACATAATAAGAGATAATGAAGGCCACTTCATAATACTAAAGGGAACAATCCAACAAGAAGAAATAACCCTGGTAAATATATATGCACCCAATACAGGAGCAACCAAATACATTAAAAAACTGCTGGAGGACATTAAGAGAGAGATTGATAGCAATAGAACCATAGTAGGAGATTTTAATACCCCACTGTCACCCTTCGACAAATCATCTAAACAAAAAATCAGCGAAGAAATATCAATCCTAAATGACTCACTAGACCAGATGGAATTAATTGACATCTTCAGAACACTGCACCCCAAAGCCACAGAATATACATTCTTCTCAAGTGCACATGGGACATTCTCAAAGATAGACCACATTTTGGGACATAGGCAAAGTTTCTTCAAATTCAAGAAGATAGAAATCGTATCAAGTATCTTCTCAGACCATAATGGCATAAAACTGGAAATTAACTACAATAAAAATAATCCAAAGAAATCAAACACATGGAGACTAAACAGCATGCTATTAAACAAGGACTGGGTTACCAGAGAAATCAAGGAAGAAATTAAAAACATCCTGGAAACAAATGACAATGAAAACACAACAATCCAAAATCTATGGGACACAGCAAAAGCAGTTCTGAGAGGGAAGTTCATATCCTTACAAGCCTATTGCAAAAAACTAGAAAAAAGGGTAACAGATGATCTAACTCTACAACTCAAAAAGTTAGAAAAGGAACAACAAGAAAAGCCCAGTGTAAGCAGAAGGAAGGAAATAACAAAAATCAGAGCACAAATAAAGGACATAGAGACCAAAAAAACAATACATAAGATCAACAAAACCAAGAGCTGGTTCTTTGAAAGAATAAACGAGATAGATGGACCTCTAGCCAGACTAACCAAGAAACAAAGAGAGAGGACCCAAATAAACAAAATCAGAAATGAAAGAGGTGAAATAACAACAGACCCCACCGAAATACAACAGATTGTTACAAAATACTACAAACAACTCTATGCCAACAAACTGAACAACCTGGAGGAAATGGACAGATTCCTAGAAAAATACAAACTTCCAAAACTCAATCAGGAAGAATCTAAAAATCTCAATAGACCAGTGACTTGGGAAGAAATTGAAACAGTCATCCAAAAGCTTCCAGCAAACAAAAGCCCAGGGCCAGATGGCTTCACAGGAGAGTTTTACCAAACATTCAAGGAAGAACTAAAACCTAT